GGGCTGAACTGGAGGGAGCGGGAGCGAAGGGAGGCGAGAGAGCGCGGGAGGAAGAGGAAGAGAGGGAGGGACAAGGGAAGAGGGGCCGGGAGGCAGGAGGAGAGGAGAGAGTGGGGCAGCGCAGGGTCCCCTTTACCCCTGTCGCCCCACCGGGGCCAGAGGTCTGAGGTTGCCCTCCGAAAGGCTCCCTCCCACTCTGAGTTCTCCTGCCAGGCAGCGAAAGTGGGGAATTGAGCCCAGTCTCTGTATCAAGCATTTACAGTGCCCGGAGCATTGAAAAATGAACTCCGGCCTACCTTCCCGGGGGTTACAGGAAGCATTTAGCTGGAAAGGCTAAAAGAAAAAGGCGCTAATGGACGAGACGACTCTTGAGTTCCAGCAGTCTCCTTTCTGCCTGCCCCAGAATCCATTTCAGGAAAAATCAAGCAGGAAGTGGAGCCCCCACCACCCATAATGTTGGCCCCAGGGTCTAGAAGAAGACAGGTGTATAGGGCTGGGGGATGAAGGCCTACCCCACTGCCAGGATTGTCAAGGTGACTCGCTTACCTGGACCCCTTCTGTGGAGACGCCCTTACTGCCTGTCCTGCCCCCAGCAGCACCCCAGCATTTATTCACACAGGACTGGGACCACGCTATCCACAGGTCTGTCAGCTGTGGGCACTTGTTATTAGATTCTCACCTCTCATTGGTCTTGCCGTTTCTCACAGCACCTGACACACGGAGGCAGAAAAGAAGGTTTGTGAGGAGGAAGAGGGCGGCTCCCTAGCTCAAGAGCCAGTGGCCAGAGGGAGCCAGACGGCCAGAAGGAAATTCCTGGCCATTCAGGTGAGACCCTAGACCTGGGCATCACGATGGGGCTTGAGGATGGGGCAGAGGCGGGCAGGCACGCTGGAGGCACCCTCTGACCCCTGACCCTGACCCCTCCGCTTACAGCATGGTTTCCCAGGGATCCTCACCCTCCCTCCTGGAGGCCCTGAGCAGTGACTTCCTGGCCTGTAAAATCTGCCTGGAGCAGCTGCGGGTTCCCAAAACTCTGCCGTGCCTGCACACCTACTGCCAGGCCTGCCTGGCCCAGCTGGCCGAGGGCAGCCATCTTCGATGCCCCGAGTGCCGGGAAGTTGTTCAGGTGCCACCAGGGGGTGTGGCCGCCTTCAAAACCAACTTCTTCGTCAATGGACTCTTGGACTTGGTGACCGCCCGGGCTGGGGGAGACCTGCGTGCAGGTAAGCCAGCCTGCGCCCTGTGCCCCCTGATGGGGGGCACCAGCACCGGAGGGCCAGCCACCGCCCGGTGCCTGGACTGCGCCGACGACTTGTGCCAGGCCTGTGCCGATGGGCATCGCTGCACCCGCCAGACCCATGCCCACCGAGTAGTGGACCTAGTGGGCTACAGGGCAGGGTGGTATGACGAGGAGGCCCGGGAGCGCCAGGCAGCCCAGTGCCCCCAGCACCCTGGTGAGGCTCTGCGCTTCCTGTGCCAGCCCTGCTCCCAGCTGCTGTGCCGTGAGTGCCGCCTGGATCCCCACCTGGACCACCCGTGTCTGCCCCTGGCTGAGGCGGTGCAGGCCAGGCGGCCGGGCCTGGAGGAGCTGCTTGCGGGCGTGGACAACAACCTGGCAGAGCTGGAGGCTGCCCGGGCGGTGGAGAAGGAAATGCTGGCCCGGCTGCGGGAGCAGGCGGCCAGGGTGGGGATGCAGGTAGAGGAGGCGGCTGAGCGGGTCCTCCGGGCCCTCCTGGCCCAGAAGCAGGAGGTGCTGGGGCAGCTCCGGGCCCATGTGGAGGCTGCTGAGGAGGCTGCTCGGGGAAGGTTGGCAGAGCTAGAGAGCCGGGAGCAGGTGGCCAGGACCGCGGCCACGTTTGCCCGTCGGGTACTCAGCCTGGGTCGTGAGGCTGAGATCCTCTCGCTGGAGGGGGCGATTTCCCAGAGGCTTCAGCAGCTGCAGGGTTGTCCCTGGACGCCTGGGCCAGCCCCCTGCCTGCTGCCCCAGCTGGAGCTCCATCCCAGGCTGCTGGACAAGAACTGCCACCTGCTTGAACTCTCCTTCGAGGAGCAGCAGCCCCAGAAGGATGGTGGGAAAGACGGAACTGGTACCCAGGGAGATGATGCAACCCAGGGCCAGGGAGAGGACCAAGCCGAGACAGAGAAAAAGGGTGGTGGAGTCCAGTCCCAGAGTGAGGATGTCACCAAGTTCCAAAAAGAAGAGAAAGCCCAAATCCAGAGAGAAGATGGGGCCCAGACCCCAAAAGAAGACAGAGCCCAGATCCAGAGAGAAAATGGGGCCCAGACCCCCAGAGAAGATGGAGAAGCCCATTGCCAGAGAAGTGGCAGATCCAACAGGAGGAGACGGTTCAAAGGCAGGCTCAAGTCAATTTCCCGGGAGCCCAGCCCAGCACCTGGGTCAAACCTGGAAGGCTCTGGCCTCCTTCCCAAGCCCATGTTTTCCTGCAGCTTCCCCACACGGATGCCTGGAGACAAGTGGTCTCCCCGGATCACCGGGCTCTGTCCCTTTGGCCCCCAGGAGATCCTGGTGGCTGATGAGCAGAACAAGGTGCTGAAGCGCTTCTCCCTCAATGGTGACTACAAGGGTACTGTGCCAATCCCCGACGGCTGCTCCCCATGCAGCGTGGCTGCTCTGCAGGGCGCGGTGGCCTTCTCTGCAGGCTCACGGCTCTACCTCATCAGCCCTGATGGTGAGGTGCAGTGGCGCCGGGCGCTGAGCCACTCACAGGCTAGCCACGCCGTGGCCGCTCTGCCAAGCAGGGACAGGGTGGCAGTCAGCGTGTCTGGCTTCGTGGAGGTGTACAACATGGAAGGAAGCCTGGCCACCCGGTTTGTCCCTGGGGGCAAGGCCAGCCGGGGCCTCCGGGCACTGGTGTTCCTGGCAACCAGCCCCCAGGGTAATTTTGTGGGTTCAGATTGGCAGCAGAATAGCTTGGTGGTCTGTGATGGGCTGGGGCAGGTGATCGGGGAGTATAGCGGGCCAGGCCTGCACGGCTGCCAGCCAGGCTCAGTGTCTGTGGACAAGAAGGGCTACATCTTTCTGACCCTTCGGGAGATCAACAAGGTGGTGGTGCTGGACCCAAAGGGGTCACTGCTTGGTGACTTCCTCACGGCCTACCATGGCTTGGAAAAGCCCCGAGTGACCACCATGGTGGACGGTCGGTACCTAGCTGTGTCCCTCAGTAATGGGACCATCCATATCTTTCGGGTCCGCTCTTTTGACAGTTAAAGGGGCTGGGACTGGCGGGGGGGGGGGCGGTTTGGAGGGCAGGAGGGGTGCAGAACTGCCCATGACATGCGGCGGGTGAGGGCATTTTCCTAGAGGGTCAGGGTCGGTGACTTTTCAAGGTGAAGTGTCAAACTGCTAGACCCTCTTCTGGTGTTCAGGGACAGGGACCAAGGGTGGTGGCGTGACCATGACTCCCAGAGCAGAGGAGCAAGGGTGGGAGGGGTGCCGAGTGCTCCACCCCTCTAGCTTCTCGTGGGTGGTTGCTGCTGCCCCGTAGTTCAGGTTTGTAATTGTGTTGTGATTTGCATTCTTCAAAACCACTCCTGGTAGAGTACCCAAGGGCGAGTCTTAGGAAGGGGGCAAAAGCAGGCATCTGAGCCAAGAAGGGCTCAGTCATCCACTGGCTCAGGGTATAAGTAACATCTTCCACGTGCCACAGCGAGGAAGTGGGGACTCCTAGACAATGGCATCACCCAGTAAAGTAAGGGTTGGCCTTCGAGTGGGAACAAATGCAGACGTCAGCCACGGTCAAGAGGCCTTTGCCTCAAAGGCGCCAAGTGATTATGCTCCAGGAAGACCAAACCAGGCAGAGCTGGTATCTGAAAAACAGGATGCTGAGCGTCAGGGAAGGAGAGGGAAGACGTAAGCTGCGTGTAAAATCCCTGCAGTGCGGCTCTTGTTTCAATGTCTTTTCATTTCTGGGGCTTATTTTTTTGTTTGCTTGTTTCTGCTTAGTTTCCCAGCAAATTCCCTTTGAAGAATTTTGGTCTTTACTTGGCTGAACTAAGGGGAGAAGGAATTTGTCCCTCTGTCGGTCACTATTGCTGGGGGAAACAGCCTTCTCCTAGAGGCCAGGTGTGGCAGTGGGGTGGCCAAGACAGCCGGAAAACCTGAGAATTGGTAGCGGGGCTGGGACAGACAGACGGAGGAGTGGACTGGGAGCCAGGACCACTTGGCGGGCAGTGGCAGTGCAGTGACGTTGAGGTGCTCGAGTTAAGTGGCGAGGGCACGTGTAGCCAGGGTTGTCGAGGAAATGACCAAAGGGAATCTTATTGTAGGTATGATGGACGATGGATAAAATAATGTAGGTGTCAAGTCCAGAGGGAAAGTGCAGGCGTAGGGAAAAGAAACTCCTTTTTCAGGGAGGCCATTTCGTGTTTATTGAAGCAATAGAGGAAGCCATTAACGTCCAGGTGGCCAAATTCAATTCCATAAAAATTAAAATTAAGATGGAAAGAAAACAGCAAACACCTGGTTATATATGTTTTACTCAATAAAATAAAAATAAGAAAACCAGTAAGATAAGAAAGAGGCGCGCTTGGTGGTGTGACGGTTAAGCACTCAGCTGTTATCTGAAAGGTTGACGGTTCAAACCCACCCAGCAGCTCTGAGGGAGAAAGACCTGGCAATCTGCTCCCATAAAGATTGCAGCCTAGGAAACCCTATGGGTCAGTTCTACCCTGTCGCATGGGGTCACCGTGAGTCAGAATTGATTTGACAGCACAGAACAACAAGGTAAGAAAACTATGTAGGGTTGATTTGACAAGAGTAGACTCTCCAGTATATACAGTGACTAAGAGTCAAAGGCGCCAAAGAAGCTGTGCAAATAGGCAAGGACTAGTGAAATGGAAAAAATGTAAAATGAAACCACTTATATTCATCCAAAATAAATTTTAAAAATGTTCTGAAAATTTTAAATTTCACTGTAAAATGATGAAATCTTTCTGGAGAAGAATTTGGCAAGACTTGACATGCGTCAAAAAAATGATTATAAGGACGAGTTATTCCACCTTGGGGAATACATTCTGGGAAAATAAACGGAAAGAAAAATATTTGCAGAGATATTTGTGGCTGCGCTCTATATTAGTTATTAACTGGAAACTGCTCAGCTGCCGGGTGACAGCTAAGTAGACTGTGGTATATTAGGACAATGGGATACTGCCTTCATGTATGAAAACTATTTAGGAGAAATAGAATTATATGATGTAATCGTAAGCAAAAAATGGGGAATTTGGAATTATGATCAAACAGTGATAGCAACAAGTAAAAGTATGTCTGCATAATTGTCGAGTGGAAATAGGATCAGAATTTGTAAATAGTGATTTGGGAGATCAGGTCCTTTTAGAGTTATTGCGTGCTGTTATTCATATATGCACATTTCTACTTCAGTTATTATCCATTAAATAACATAGATACTTGAATATTTACTTCAAACAGAAAATACACTCTATGAATGGTATTTAAGAATAGCTACTGGATTTGAGAACGAATGTATCGGTTAGAGTAAATGGGATTATGTGATCAGAGGAGAGGTTGGAGTCAGGGAAGAGAGTCACAGCTGGTTGGGGCTCAGCAGTGAGGAGGGGCCTGGCCAGGCAGGGCAACTGACCAAGGAACCCACCCTGGAAAAGAATGTAGGACTCAGGAAGTCCCCTAGGGTGGTCAGATTATTGTGGAGGGTCCAAAAGATAAGAGAAGGTCTCGCTGAGTTTACCAACTAGCTCAGGCCAACTGGAAACCTGGTGGTGGTGGTGGTTCTGCAGAATCAACTACTATAGGCTGAGTTGTGTGAGGGCAGGGACTGTGTCTTCTTTGCAGCTGTATCCCGAGAGCTAGCAGAGTGCTGGCACATAGTAGGCACTCCATAAATGTCTGTGAAATGAATAAACATCTAGAAAAGGGATGGGACAATGGTATGACTCTTTCTAGAGATCGTCCAGCTCAAATGCCAGAGCCCCAGCTGACCAAGTTGTCAACTTGTGGATTGTGGAAAATCTGCTGGAGGGGGTACTGTGGGCACAGTCCACCATATGCCTCCCAAGGGGTTGCTCTGCTGCAATTCAAAGAAAGAGATAAGATTGGGTTGTCCTGCTTCTGGATGTGGACAGGAACCGGGTGACATGGACTCCCAGGGATCATACCCCTTTGGGTTGGAATAACTGCTACACGGAGCTGCACAGGAGCCTGTGCAGAGGGCCTGGCTGGTGGAGTGGCCCCAGCCAAATACCCCACCCAGTGGCGAAGCAGGAATAGAGACCCTCAGAAACAAAAGTCACCTGACAGCAAGAAGAGAATCCCATAGTTGGTCTAGAGATGCAGGAGCCAGGTGGGTTCCCAGGAAGCCGTAGGAGTCGTGGGAAACCAGGCTTTGGAGACTGAGCGGAATACCGAATTTTCTTCATGAAGAGGTAAGGGTAGCAAGGCATGGAGCACTGGCAAAATGTGAAGGAGGGATGGGAAGTATAGCATAGAGCATACTTGGGAGGTAAAATCCCCAAGGCCTTCACTGTGACCTTGGAATCCTAGGGAATCCTGTAGAAAGCACAACTCAACAGTGAGGGTGAGAAGTGCTGGTTAAACTACAGATTTTAAGAAACCAGGAGCATCGTGGAAGACGCAACACCACCCCCACCCCCACCCCACATTGGACTATGACAGCTAACTTGATAAATTGTTCCTTTTCCTGTTTGGAACTGTTTGTGTTGTGCATGTATTGGTGAAATGAGAATACGGTTCAGGTAGGGAGAAAGGGGGTGGAAAACCTCTTTCATATTCTTTGTGCCTAGAAAAGAAAAGAGGATGAGGTAGCATAGATCTGGGTTGAGTGCTAGCTCTTCCACTAAATAGCTGTGTGATCCTGGTCTAGTTCCTTAGCCTCTCTGAGCCTCAAGTTTCTACAGAGTAAAGTGGGGATAATAATATCCACCATACCCACTTCACTGGGTGGTTGTGAGAATTGAATGAGAAGTATGTAGAAGTATTTTGTACACCGTAAAGCTCAACTACAAGGTATCATTTAGTAAAAAGTTAAACTGGCTGGTACCGACCTCGTACTCCTCCGTCAGGGTATCTGAGTGGGGTGCTATGTCCACCTATTACGAGGTAAAAACTTAAGAACATCTGGGTAGAGTTATCTGCAAACCATCTTCTCCTTTGGAGGAGACTCTTCTGTCTTGTTTTCCAGCAGTTGTTTGAAGAAGCCATGGCTAAGTAAGATACAACCGCAGAAAAAATCAATACCATCCCTAAAAGCCAGCTGAGAATCAGGCTGTGCTAATTAAGGACAGATAACCATAGACATTTAGAAAAAAATTTTTAAAAATGGCAAGAGGGGCCCAATCTTTTGCTAATTTAGAGAAAATTTAATTTGGGAGAGAATAGCTCTCCTTTCATTGCAGTCTTAACTGCATCTATAAAGCAAGGTCGTATTATAAATCTACAGAGATAAAATTTCAGAGGGGCAGAAGTCTAAGAGAGAAGTAAAAAAGTTCCTGAGGAAGTTAGTGAGGTTGGTGACCTGAACTGGGCAAGGTTTGATTGGTGGGCAGCAAGATCAAGGTGATTGACCATCTCTTGTTGGTAGGGAAGCTGAGAACTAGAGCTATCCCTTAAATTAAGTGGGAGATTGGACAAGGACATAGACTTCTGCATTGGGGAGAAAGCAGTCTTAGACTAGCTGGGACAGAAAGCTGCCAGAGAGAGCACCCAAGAAGTTGTTCCCAGCAGGAAAAAAGACCAAGTCCAAATGCAGGCTTAGGAAAATAGGTAATTTGACCAGAGGTGGTGGTCCAGCCTACCCAACTGGCTTATGTATATAGTTTCGTTTTCATTAAATGTATCTGGACAGGAGCAAAAATAGGTCTTCTAGGACCACAGACTCCTGTGGAGGGGCAGAGAAAGCACAGGCAGGTCAGGCAAGACCTCACCTGAAGCCGTGGGTGAGGAATCTTGGGACCAGGTACAGAAATGACTTATTTATCTCAAAGGCCTATACATAAGGAGGAGATTAGGAAGTAGGTTTGGGAGATGTGGGGAGGCATCCTGAACTTGTCTCCATAGAAAGTTTAGACTGGCTGATTTAGCAGCCGGCAGACAGGAATGGAAGAAAAGAACAGGGCACTTGGTGTCCAGTCAGTGGTGTCAGCCCAGCCACTTTCTCTTAGTTGCCACAGGGTAAAGAATCTGTGCCATAAATTCTTTCATTCCTCTGGTTTTGTACTTTATATTTTTTCTCTGTTTCTTAATAAAGTTCTTGCAAAAAATTCTAGCCTTTTCTC